ATGCATCTATGGAAGCAATCTGCATACATTGGGCACCAATACTCTAAGAACCGCTGAGAGTGCTCCCCTGCCCCCATGAATATGCGCCCACTCGATTATAAACCTTTTAATAGTTGGGCTAGAGAGTCATACTTCTTGCTTGTATTTCCATCCCCGTAGGCAACATATAACACCGAGCCCCCCCTGTCCTTGAGTCATTTACAACACCCAGAGACCCTATAGGGCAGAGTAGAATTGTCCCCATCAGGTCCCCAAGACGGCAAATATATATTTTGTTTCAACAGTTTTATTGGCATATAATTCAAGGCTGTAAGTCTGTACCGAAGCAAACTGCCGCATTGTTTTCCTGGGGAGTCGCTGCTGGGTTCTAACCACGGACCTTCTGATTAGTCTATAACCACATGACCTTATCATAGCAGGCATTCGCTAAATGAGTCTGATTGGTGCAATTGAAGAGAAGTCTCTCCCACTCAGTTTATCCATGTAGCCCCAAGCACAGTAAAGGAGCCCTGGTGGTGTCGGGGAAGCATTGGACTACTAATGGCAAGATTGGCAGTTCAAACCCACCAGCCTCTTGGTAGCAGAACGATGAGGCTCTTATCTTTTACCTGCTCTGATCAAAGATGTACAGCCTCACAGACCCCGCGTAGGGTTGCTAGGAGCCAGAATCAATTCGATGGCACTGGGTTTGGATGGATCGGGCTCTAAACACAATGACAGGTGTTTACAAGGCATCACTGGTCCCGTGGATTCCCTGGGGCCCCAACGTCATGCTGAAGGCAGAAGTTGCTGGCACCAGGTGGCTTGGTGATTTCCCCTCTCATTGGCAACACAAGACAGGAGATGATTTGTTCATGCGGTTAGGTAGAGAGTTGCTGACAATCACTTGAGATCAGAACAATATTCCAACAGGAGCAGCGCGTAACAAGATTCAGGCATTTACTATTCCCATGAGGTTTGGTGCCCGGCCTCCCTTCGCATCTTGGCACGCTGTGTGCTGCTGCCCTCTTCTGGCTCTACGGATGAAGTCTGGGGCTAAAATCAGCTTGAGCTAGTTAGTGTATTGGGAGCATTTTAATTTTTATATGGCGAAATTGCTTTAGGAAATAAAAAAGGGGGAGAGGAAGTGCTTTCTTGTGAGATAATTCCAATCATAGCACCCTTAGTGGGGGACCTCAAGTTTTCTAGAGTGCCCCAAGGTTGGAAGAGGAGGAGCGGGCGGCGGCTACCTGGGTGCTTTCCTTGTTTGTTTACACAGCTGCATGAAATGCTGCCGCCCTGACGGACCGATCTGACCCATAGGGACTTCACTGCCTGACTGGTCTTCAGTGGTCACCAGGCCTTTCTTCCTTACCAACTTTGTCATGACCTTAGCAACACACAATCCTCCACTGACAGAAGAGTGGTGGCCACACACTAGGGGCATTGCCAGGAATCGAACCTGGGGCTCTCCCGTGGAGCGCGTGAACCCTACCGCTGCCCTCTTTCTAACTTGAGCACCACGAGAATGCTTTAGTTCCCCTTCTTCCCCGCCCCCCCAGCTACTTCTTTAAACTAGGGCAAGGCTTGACATAAACTTTTCAGAGTTGATGGTGGCCATTATGAGCTCCCTAAGAGAGTGGGCTATAAAAATGCAGTCTTTGAGTCAGAACAACTGAATCAAAATATCAGGTTAGGATGGGTCTCAAGAGGCTACA